CACATCCTGTGTTCCCAGAGGTGCAAAAAACGCAGCACCAGTAATTTTCATTGCTACCAACTATACTGTTTTCACTGGCAGTAACTAAATCCATTTTCGAACACATCCTTAGTTGCAATGCGCAGGCGCGCGTGTCTGTCACCTCCTTTCCCATCGACACCAGCTGCGACAGGTTGACAACCCGTCAATGTTGTGTTCCTTCAAAACTAACTTTTTATTTACGTAGTGCAAGAACGAGGCGCCGCTCTACCCTCCGACGAGGCGGAGAGATGACAGGTTCGGCGAGCGCATTGGGGCGCGCGTAGGTACCAAAAGTCCGAGTACCGTCGAACAAATCGATGGCATAAATGCGCTCGGCTATCAGCGTTATCCTGTCGAGTCCGGTGCCCGACAACAAGATGTCCCATCCCGATTACGAGCAGACCGCCCACGATCACGCCGCCCTGCTGCTGCTGCTGAGGCCGGTCGGTACGCAGATCAAGCCGAAGACGGTGAGTAGGTTATGCGAGCGGATCGTCAAGGCCGGCAGCAGGTTCTCCGTGTCCGACTCGAGCGGCGGCACCCGGGAGATCCTCGCCCGATTCGTCCGGGAGCATCCCGTGGAGAACAACGACTGGGGGGACTTTCAGACGCACAGGAGACTCCTGGGCCTGATCACGTTTGGCAAGTACGACAATCAGACTGAGCTGAACGAGCTGTGCAGAGTGCACGAGACCCTCAAGGTCAAGTACAGCAGCACCCTGTACGACTCGCGCGCCATCCTCTTCGGCCCCCTCGAGTCCAACGGCCGGCACGAGCCGCCGCCGGGCTACACCACGCCCGGCAACTTCAAGACGCGGGCGGTCTTCTACGCGGACGAGGCCTGTCTCGATCTCGAGACGCAAACGGCCGAGTATCTCAATTTCCTCTTCTGGATCTTGGAGTCCAAGAGGCTCGAGCGCTCCAGGGAGAAGATAGACCGCGTCTCGCTTCTGCTTGCCCCGTTCGAGAAGAAGGATTTTATCGGATTGGACCTCGAGTCCAGAAATAACAAGAAGAGATGCGTAGGTCGCATGACGAAGCATCTGGGAGATCTGTGTCTACAAGCCGGACTTCCAGCTGACGCCCTGAACAATTACAATTCCGCGGCGAATATTCTGCAGGCCGTCAACGACTGGCTGTGGCTGGGGGCGGCGTACGAAGGTCTCTGCGCTGCCTCGGTCTTGGTCCTTTATCCTAATATGTGCCGAAGTCTTCCGTTGCAAAGAAATTCTTCCCTGCAAGAAGGAAGTCCAAGTAAGCAGAGGTACGGATAATCTCTGAACAAAGTTCACGCGGTACAAAACGTACGACTTTTCACAAGTCGCTGTGTAGTTAAAGCATTCACTTTACAGACGAGGATCACAGGCTCTCACAGTCTTGCCATCTCCGCCCAGTATAGACATGGTAAAGGCCAGCATGCCACATATTTCACTACCTGAGGAAATATCTAAGAAATATCGCGAAGCTATAGTGCATTATAGTAAATACCAATACGCAGGTATTATTGAAACTGAAGCGAGTTTCAAAGCTACAAGAATCTCAATAGAGCAGAACTGTACCTTACAAGCTGCGTCGTATTTAAATAATGTTGTGCTAATCAATTTGTCTCTCAGCGAGCAAGAAAAAGTATGTAGTATCCAACGCAGAAAATGTATAAAGCCTATCAAGGTGTTATTTAGATGAAATATTTCAGATTGATCGATTTACCACATTGTCAGATCTGTACACGAGCTTTGGTTTTGATAGAAAAGCGTCATTCTGTATGCGATTGGCCGCGACTCGTCACGTGTCGCAAAACAATCCTAATCCAGACTGGCAACAATGTTACAATTTGATGCTGCAAGCTACGTCTGGGTTCAAATTATCCTTGGATCCTGTTGATACGCCGCCAGGTTACTGCAATTATCTTAGATAAATTCAGTCAAATTCTATATCCTAAGTACATTTTCCTTATACGTTATACTTTGGTTTTAAACGAAATGTGCGTAGTTAAAAATTCTTTTCTAATGACAAATCATTTCTTAATATTACTCTGTGATATTTGAAATTGCAATATTCTCTTGCAGATGGACAAAGAGGATGGCCGGCTATACAGATTCAAATAATAAACGAGCTCGTTGCTGCTGCCAATCGAATGGGCAATCCGGCGCTTGCCACGAGGCACCTGACGTTTCTGCTTCAAACAATGTATAATCACCTAACGCTTACTGAACGGAAGGATATCGCGCTGCAGCTACAAAACGTATCTCAACAGTGCGAGGGTGCACCAGTCCCCCTTGTATGTTGAAAAATTACAGTCGTATAATCGATGTGATATAGTGCTTTATTTAAAATAAACAATGTCTTTTGCGGCAGGTTTTAGATTCTGGTACTGTCATACCACCGGCTAATTTGTTAAATATACCAAAAACAAAATCGTTCGCTCTGAAAAACATGCAGCCGCACTTGCAGCCTCAAAAGATAGAAAGAGTGAAGGAAGATCATGGCCCATTTTTATTCACGCCAATTAACTTTGGATCGCTGGAGCGCAAAAATACTTCCAAGAGCAAAGTTGGTATGTGCATGCCTAGAAGTTGATTATTAATAAGAGTTTAGTATCGCACGCTTTCGTCTGAGGATAAACTTTTCGTTGTAAACAGATTATCTGTGGGTGGAAGGAGATATCTGCGAGGTGTCGATGCAGCTCATAAATCCTTTACCGTTTGAACTGCACGTCTCTAACATGAGACTCTTGACAAACGGCGTAGTGTTCGAGTCGATACCGGAAAGTATCAGCCTGCCCGCCGAGTCCGGTCCTATTGCAGTTACTTTGGCAGGCAGACCCAAGGAAGTTGGAGATTTAGAGATACTCGGCTTCAGCACGCACACGTTAGGAGTTAAATCTAACTGTAGATTGAGATACATGGGGGGTATGTTACATCCTCAATACACGGTCGAAGTCATTCCAGCCTTGCCGAGAATCGATGTCGCGACTAGTTTGCCTCAAACTGCTAGTTTCAGCTCCGGCGACAATATAGTCACCAGCGCGAGTATATCGCTCTATGGCGGCGAAAGGTTTGTGTCTACCGTAAGCGCTACAAAGGCCTTTCCTCGATACTACTTTCACGCAAAATTTGCCTCGTTCACGCTTGCAGCGCCGAGTGTACCGTAACAATAACGAACGCCGGTCAGGTTCCTATCGAAATGGTCGAGCTGTCGGTGCAGTCCGCTCTGGATGCTGTAACTGAGGGTAAAATTTTCAAGTGGAGCGATGAGAATCTAATGACACAGCTGCCTTTACAGCCTGGCAGCAGTGCGAGTCTCACTTTGTATCTGTATGCAACGACGGATTTTATAGCACCTTCGATTAGAAACGGTAGTAGACGTATTGTTAATTACATGTGTTATCACGAGGCAATTTTTTTTTTAATATTTCCCCTTTTTTTCAGATGCGAGCAGTACCTATCTTAGTCAACCAAGCAGTCTAATGTCACATTCAGGCCACAGTTCTCTGCCATCCAGGCTCAGTTCTCCGTCTCACACGAAGAGACAATCCGAACTGACCTCCTCCTTCAGGTCAGGAGTAAGCTCGCACTCCGGCCATTCTTCCTTTGCGAGCACGCGTCTGTCGAAACTCGCGGTACCTTTACACATGTCTAACATTATCGAGGGTCAGTTGAGGATAAAATACTCGGGAGGTGCAGGCCTGACAACTGGCTACTGCAGGATCTCGTCTGTCTTTATAACCATCGAGATGCTACCCAGCGTGCAGATCACTAACTGGGACGTATTGCCGGCCGAAACGTGAGTCGCGCAAACGCAAGTGCTTCGTAAAATAATATTTATTCATATCTCACACGTTGTCACATATAAATTTATAAAAGTGCTCTCGCTAACAATTTTTAGACCATTGCAATTTTATCTCGTGCTGGACGTGACGAACATGACGAATCACGAAATGGAGTTGCACTATACGCAAAACAAATGTATATACATGGAGGGTAAAGAACCATGTAGAATTCCCGTTCCAGTTGACCGATGTCCACTTAACAAGTTATCTATGGTACGAAGACGTGACTTATTCGGAAAAAAAGCCATGCCGTAATGCAATATTATTCTATCCCTTTTCGCTTGCAGTTGAATGGTACTGGCGACACGAGTGAACTCCAAAAAGTATGCGCCGAGCACATAGCCTCACTGGTCGATCTACGCTGGCAATTGCTGGGCACCGAGTCAACGGGAAAAGCAACCCTATCCGGCATCACTCTAACTCAGGATATGTTGGATCTGGTCAGAATGAGCCCTTTACAGTGGGGTACGTATACACTATTTGCTGTGCATAGATACAGTACCGGTCAAAGTATCACCTTTCAACTTTTTTAGCATAGCTAGTTTTGAAACGCACGCGTGAAAATCTATGGTGTATCTTGTCGAATTTCATTATCCCTTGTGTACAAAATGCAGATCTGTTATCGGGTGTCTACTGTAAAATTTTTAGCACACTCGATGCACGTTGAGGAAAGTTGTGCTCGGAAAACCTAAAGGCGATATAACTTCGGCCGGTACTGTATGTACAAGGTACTTAAGATTATACTAAACAAACTTAACTCATTTTCTAGAGATAACCATCAACGATATCATTGTGAAGGCACAGGAGGAACTGTCGTGCGCTTTGGGCGAATGTATCAGCGTCGGCGTGGGAGTGTGCAACGCGCTAGAACATCCGCTGAGCGACCTTACGTTGTCCGTTAATTTCTACCAGGACCATCATAACGGAGTTAACAATTATCAGTTGGAGACAAGACTGTCCATAGCTGGCGCGAACAAGGTCATGCTGCCCACTGTGAGTCGCAACCGTCGCAAATGCAATTTGTAGTCGCGTACGCATTCGTGTATCTCACGTTCCCCGTTTTTATCGTGAATAACCGACAGTTGCAGGAATACGGCAGAGCCTATCACGAGTGTCGCGTGGTATTTTTCACCGCTGGTCAGTACAAAATAGATATTCAATGCAGCAGCAAAGAGTCTGCCCCGAATTCGCCGATACTCTACTCGGAGCTTGTTAACGCGGGGCATACGTGGCGTTATATACCGCCCATCGAAATAACTGTCGACGACTATTAATACTAAATAAATGTAAATCACTGTCTGCACCTATAAACTGTAACAATTGTATAAAAAAAAGAGCCAAAACGTTGTATTAGTAATATATATATTATATAAATAAATAAAGAACCGATATTTACTTTAATGAAATTAATAATTGTTATATGTAATTCTGTTGAGTACAAATATACTTGCAACGAGTTTGTATACGTGAACGTTAAAAGATTTAAACATTATCTTTTGCCTCTCTCTAACTTGATCTTCTTGCCGAGAGGAATCATTTCCATCTCTTGCAGATTCCTCCGGAACCTTTTATAAAACTCAAGTACAGCTGTGTTCGCCCACACTTGCTGGCTATTGAAATCTAAAACGCGTAGACTCTGCAGGCTTTGAGCTCTCGAAAGCGCCACGTAAGACTGACCAGCGTCGAATACCCTCGACAGGCACATCTCCACGCAATCTAACGTCAGGCCCTGGCTCTTGTGAATCGAAAAGGCCCACGCTAGCTTAAGCGGGACCTGTTTTCGGTGTATGACAGCGCCGGAACTAGTTTTGATAGCCCACTTCTCCATCTTCGCCTCGTAATGAGTTCCGGATCGCAACTGAATTACCGGTACGTCATTTTTGAAATCGACAACAACGCCCCGAGCTCCGTTCACCAATCCACTGTTAACGTTCATGTTTTTCAGCAGCATGATTTGCGCGCCGACTTTTAGTACTAATTTGCCAGGTATAGGCAGCTGCTGATCCAGCATATACGTCATAGAACTGTCGGAGTCTAACGCCGTGTACACCTTACTCTCGCCCTTCAGCTCGTTCAATTGAAATTCGTTAATCTCATCAGCCTCCCTCACGTGCGAGCACAATCGAGTTGCCAATACTCCATTGCTCTCGATCTTTTGCTTCGCCGTCTCCTTCAAAATGTCCACGATGTCGTCCGTGACTCTACCGATCCTAACGTTATTCAGTATCTTCACGAACGCCTCGTCCCTCTGCCGGTGGACCGTCTGCAGTTCGAAATTGAAGTGTACGCACTTCTGCCAGGCCTCGCTCTGGAAACAAAATTTCGCCTTGTCCTCGGTCTTGGAGACGGGCGGTAACTGAAAGAAGTCGCCGCACAGGATCAGCTGTATCCCTCCGAAAGGTCTCTCCGATCTGCGCACGTGTCTCGCCACTGCCTCAATCTTGTCGAAGAAGTCGCCGTCCACCATAGAAATCTCGTCTATCACCAGGTGCTTGGTTTTCCTCCATATCGAGGCGGCGGACGGGCGGGAGGCCAGCTGGATGCATCTCTCTATGGTGCCGGTGCCCAGGCCGACGCCGGCAAACTGGTGCAACGTGATGCCGCCTATGTGGCAGGCCGCCACTCCGGTGCTCGCCGTGGCCATCGTCACGTCCGGAGGAAGAGCCGTGATGATCTTCCTCAACAGGTACGACTTGCCGGTGCCGGCGCTGCCGGTGAAAAACAAGTTCTTGCCGCTGAGCACCGCGTTCAGTACTCGCGCCTGCTCCTCGGTCAGCTCGCCCGCGGTGGGATTCTCATATAGCTTCTTCGCCGCGGGTACCTGATACAAATTAACAAAATAATTATATAACATATTAGAACAAGCTAGTTTTAAGGAATAAAACTAATCGATAATCTAAGGCCAATATTTTTACGAGCTAGAACCGATTTATTACCCACTTGCTATAAATTATAAAATTGTAACAAAAACTATTATATAGTCTAAGGGGACGCAACTAAGAATTAGATTATAAATAATGACGAATAAATCAATGAATTAATAGTCAGAGAATAAATATAATAATATAAATGACGTATGAATTGTCAACGAATAATATTACAAAGTATAAAAAAGACAGACGTGTCGAGTAAATTGTCAAGGAATAAAATTACAAAGTATAAATAAAGACGGACGTTTCGACTATACTTATTGTTAGTCATCCTCAGCGATAAGGGTCCCTATAATAATAATATTACATTGGTGTTAATAGTTAATGCTTTGCGCACGTGTCGAGTGGTAAGATGAATCGTGTTACTTTTAATAAGATCAAGATTGTTATCCAGTAATGGTATTACAAAATAATTATATTAAGAAGAGACGTTCGCAATTTTTGCAATTTTCTTTCCTACCTTTTCAATCCTCCCCACAGTGCACCCCCGATTTAAATCCTCGTCAACAAATTGAAATGAACGAAAATAATTGTACCGCTTGTACATACAAGGTGCCAATATCAAGTTGCTGCCGCGGAGCCGAAATGTTTCGAGAAAGAGCGGAAATTTACTACGTCGAATGGGGCAAAGTAAAAGAAACGGGGTACCTTAGGGCCGTCGCCGCTGAGATGCTTGCGCTTCCTGGCCACGCCGGGCGACGGAGTAGTGACCGTCGCGCGCGACACAGCCATGGCCTTCTCCCGCGCTCTGTTGACCTCCGCGCTCGTCGCCGGACTGACGTCCTCTGCGCCGCCCAGCTGAACATTCGCGAGCAGCTTCTCCCGCAGGGGATCCTTCGCGGCCGGCTTGCCCTCCTGGCCGGTCAGCTTGACGAATATGGTCTTGAGGAAAGTTATCAGCTGAGAGGAGGGTGCGTTCGACAGGAACAAGGTGCAGTTCTGCTCCCGGAACTTGATGGACGCCTTCCCCTCGGCCATGAATTTATTGAACACCGATATACCTCGCAGGGGTAGCTTCGTGAGCGCGTTCGCCTTCTCGGCGCGCACCTCCACGTGCATCTCGCGCTTACCGTCGCGAATCAGGCGCAGCGACGCCGTTCGGTGGGTCGCCTTCCTCAGGATGGACCCTTGCGCGTTCAACCATTCTACGGCGACGGTGCAGGTCAACGTGCAGCCGTCGGAGTCCATGTCCTCCGCGAGTAGAATCGTCCCCCTGGGAAACGCCACGAGCGGTAGGCTTGACGAGAGTGCAACGATCTTAACGATAGACGCAAATTGGACTAGCCTGAAAACGGCGTGAACGGACGCGGAACACGTTGAACGGTAAACCAGAAAGCGCGCGCAATATCTCCGGTACAGGATGCCTAATCTTAAAAACAGTAGGGACTTACTAGATGGTTAGTGTTGGTTGTAGTCCCTTCTTCTGGACCCATATGGCTTCTGCCCACTGGACGCGGTAACGTTGCCGCGCGGCAGAACTTGGCTAGGGAAACCAGCGCTAGCCAATCCACATCCGAGTGCACGAGACGTTAAGGTGCTATTACATGGAAGCGTCGTGCGTCGTGCGTCAAGCGTCAAACGCGCGCGCAGCACCTTTGCGCAGATGTCTAAACGTG